ATTGATCCATTGAGGGAAAGGTGACCAGAGGCTTCAGGAACCCAGCTCTGTATTGTCTCTAGGGGAAACAGCTCAGTGTTTGCTAACTCAGTGTCGGTATATCTTTACAGGACATAACAAATAATGAGACTTGATTGTATTTTTTTTAGTTAATTTAAAATTCAGTGTTTATTGTTTATGGTTCCTTATCTTCTTTCTTCCCAGGGTGTTCCGAATTAGATTTTATTCTTAGTTTCATCTACTTTACAGTACTAATGCAAAACATTCCAGAGTTCCAATTTGTGAAATATAGCCTGTATTAAGTAACTAACTGTATTTTTCTTTTCCTTTCCTTTCTTTCTGTCCTCCTTCCTTCCTTCCTTTTTCTTTTTCTTCTTCTTTTCTTTTTTTGGTGTGCAGCAAACCAAAGTTTATTGAGTGATAGTAGAGAGCTCCTAAAGATGGAGGAGACCCGAGAGGGTTGCCCTCTTTCTTTCTTTGAGTATGGTTGACACCTGATGTTACATTAGTTTCAGGTGTACAGCATAGTGATCCAACAACTCCATACGTTATGCTAAGCTCACTGCAAGTGTAGCTACCATCTGTGATCATGCCATGCTATTACAGTATCATTGACTATATTCCCTCCGTTGTACCTTTTATTTCCCTGACTTATTCATTCTGTAACTGGAAGCCTATACCTCCCACCCCCCATTCACCCATTTTACCTATCTTCTACCTCCCTCCTCTCCTGCAAACACCTGTTATATTCTCTGTATTTGTAGTTCTGATTCTGCTTTTGTTTGCTTATTTGTTTTGTTTTTCAGATTCCACATATAAGTGAAGTTATGTAGTATTTGTCTTTCTCTGTCTGACTCATTTCACTTAGCTTAATACCCTCTAGGTTGGAGTAACTATATTCCAAAGCAGGGTTTTTCCTTCCCTAATGGGATAGAATGCAAACATGCCTACTAAAGTGTCCTCATTATTATTATTTTTTAAAAGATTTTATTTATTTATTTGACAGACAGAAACTACAAATAGGCAAGAGAGGCAGACAGGGAGAGAAAGGAGGAAGCAGGCTCCCTGCAGAGCAGAGAGCCCGATGTGGGGCTTGATCCCAGGACCTTGGGATCATGACCTGAGCCAAAAGCAGAGGCTTTAACCCATTGAGCCACTCAGGTGGCCCTAAAGTGTCCTCATTATTAACAATCATATCAAGTAGTTTGAATTTACTCAAGTCATATAAATGAACCAAGAATTTTAAGTTATTATGCTTAGCTTTACGTACGCCATTTGGTGAAACCCCCCTAGGTCAACACAGCTTGCCCACGCATCATAGGATTGGGTTCGTTTAAAGTCAGTTGGGAACCCGCAATTTCTTCTTGAAATGGGCTATATATAAAATGACTGAAATCAATCTGCTAAATTCAAGAATTCTGAGTTATGTTTGCAGATGATATCACCTTATGGTCATGATAAAGGATTCAGAGTACTGTGTGCAAAAGGGACTTTCAGGAGTGACAGAAATATTTTCTATCTCGATGGTGGTGGTAGTTACTTAGATGTATACATCAACATTCATAGAACTATGCAACTCAATAAATCTGGCTTTTAAAAAAGCAAGAATATGGGTGCCTGGATGGCTCAGTCCGTTGAGGGACTGCCTTGGGCTCAGGTCATGATCTTGGAGTCCTAGGATAGAGTCCCACATCAGGCTCCTTGCTCAGCAGGGAGTCTGCTTCTCCCTCTGGCCCTCCCCCGTCTCGTGCTCTCTCTCTTTCATTCTCTCTTTTCCAAATAAATAAAATCTTTAAAAAATGAGAATCTTATGGTATTAGGGAAGAAAATAATGACAAAGGTGGCTAAGTAATATGTGAAAGGAAGTTTCCTTCTTTGTTTTGGCCTCTTAGACAGAAGGCCAAGATACAAATCTTTATTATTGAAAACTTAGGAGTAATGGCTTCTTTTCCACATTTTCTTCTGTACCACCATTCTTTACTTTGGATTTTTCATTGCCTTATATAAAAATTCTAAGTTTTTCCTCGAAAAACAAAGTGTTATTTATATTTCGAATATAATAAAGCTCTTAGCCATTCTCTAATGTGGTTTTAATCTTAATTCAGAGAACTCATTCACTTGAGATTTGATCATGTCCATAGTTGAATAAAAGAATCTAGCCATGAGTGAAACAGGATGATTGGGGGACACCTGGTTGACTCAGTTGGTTAATCATCTGCCTTCAGCTCCGGTTATGATTCTGGAGGTCCTGGGATCAAGCCCCGCATCAGGCTCCCTGCTCAGTAGGAAGTCTGCTTCTCCCTCTCTCTCCACCTACAGCTCCCCCTGCTTGTGTTCTCTCTCTTTCTCTGTCAAATAAATAAATAAATAAATAAATATTTTAAAAAAGGAAAAAGAGAGAACTCCCCAGATTAGGGCAAACTGGGACAGTCGGTCACACTTACAAGGAAGTACCATGACTAGTTTTCTTGGAAGTGGGAGACAGTGAAGTTTCTGGGTTCAGCCTTGAAGCACCATTCATTTCCTGAATAGGGTATGGTGACCCTGGCATAGTTTCTGATCTAGGCTTGAGTAATTGGATCCAAGTTCTTGGGAATGTACAAGGTTGATACAATGAGTTGTAATCCTGGGCTCTACTGTAAGAGGAGAAAGTGTAAGGAGGGACAGTGGTGGGGAAGAGCCTGGGAGAGCAGCCTCATGGGCCATCTCTGAGGCCAAGCCCAGAGTGTGAGGAAGGAGGAGCCAGATGAAGACCAAGCCTACCAGGTGATGGAGCTCAGAGCAGTAGTGGCCTCTGAATCAAGAACAATGGACTGACCCACTAGCAAAGGGACCTTCAGAGTTTGTGAGCCCTGTGCCTTGAGGCCCACAGGTTCCTTACCTTGAGAGCAGAGCAGGGTAAGAGATGCCAGCAGAGAACAATGAACATGGAAGAAACACTGTGTCCCTTTGCTGCCCATCCCTCTCCGAGACAATAGTCTGTCCAGGTTATAGAAATCAGCTCTGGATTTTAAACCTGAGATCTTCATGTTTGAAGTATCCTATACCCAACACCTGAAATTACATGCCAAACTTGGTGTACATCCATATATTCTCAGAAGATAGCATCCATCACGGTCTCAGAGTTGTTCAAGATAGGAAACAGATTAAGAAACACAAGACTAAGTGGTTGCTAAAGCCCTTCTTGTTTTCACATTCTGTGATCCTTTGATAATACTCAAGATAATTGATTTGAATTTATAAAAAGGATCACAAAAGAAGTGTCAGGATCCAAGAAACCCAAGAACTATCACCTGGAGAAATATGCTAAATACTAATATCAGGGAATTCCAAACAGCTTTCTCTGTTGTGAAAGGGGACCTGTGATAGTTGATTTTATGTCAGCGTGGCTAGGCTCATGGGCACTGTATGGGTACTCAGTTGTCTGGTCAAACATCAATCTAGGTGTTGTTGTAAGGTATGTTTTAGATGTGATTAACATTTAAATCAACAGACATTGAGTAAACCAAACTGTCCTTCATAATGTTGGTGGGTCTCATCCATTCAGTTGAAGGCCTTAAAAGTTTGTGGTTTACCAAATGAGAACCAATTCTCCAGACTGCAACACAGACACCTTGCCTGGGTTTCCAGCTTGCTGTCCTGTAGAATTCAGACGGGAAACTGTAACATCAACTCTTAGCCTGAACTCTTAGCCTTTTAGCTTGTTCTGCAGCTTTCTGGAAATTTCCACGTATACAAGCATGTGAACCAATTCCTCAAAATCTTAATCTCTTTCTCTTTCTTCATCTCTGTTCTTTTGGGTCTGTTTCTCTGGAAAACTCTGACCAGTACATGACCCATTAGTCATTGATTTCGTTATAATACTGGGAATTAACATATATATGATCTATCAAAATGCTGAACTTAACTACTGGTGAAAGCAATCCCTAGGCCATTTGGAATGAATGAGTACTGTTGGACAGGCAGAAGGTACAGAAAGAAAAAAATATATCTTTGTGGGTGTATGTCCAAGCTTCCAGTAATATGGCCAAAGAGCCCAGTTTGGTATTAACCAACTTGAAAGCAGTTGGTTAATAATTTGGTCAAAAGAACAATTTGGTTAAAAATGAAGATCCTTTACTTTTTAATTGCACTGTTAAACTATTTTCACAAAAAGCATGTATCCATATTACTTTCATAATTTTGCAAAAAGAAAATAATATTTGCAGGTACTGTTTTTTTTTGGAGTGCTGCTTGTGGTGCAGAGGTGGCTGAAGCAGGCATTAATGCTTCCTTGCTCCCTACATATCAGGCTTGCTCTTTGGGAGCTGGACCACCCCCTGAGAAGTCCCCTTGGCTCTGGGCAGGTGGATTGAAGCTACGGGAATCTCGAAATTGCCATAGGCCCCTTTTCTACTCTTTTCTGATCTTTTCATAGGTCTCTTTTCAGCTCTTCATGGCTGAAAAAGTAACCGCTGGCGTGGGGGTGGAGATGGGGGTGGCGGGAGCTTGATGTTAAAAGAGGCCACCCTACGCTTTGTCCCTTTTGCCCAACAAGAGGGCTGGGGAAGGTCTTACTCCGTATATTACTGCATTTAAAGTATTTACTGACGTGTGTTATATGTGCACATTTTACCAGGTTTTCACGTGAGAGAAGTCTTGGGGGGAGCGCTCTGTTTATTAATACATACTTCAGGCTGCATTTCTAATTTCTTTTCAGGTCATTTTAATTTTCTTAATAGATATTCATGAAATGTAACTACGGTCGAAAAGAAACACGGGCCCCGCCTCCGGAAACTCGCTCCCCTCCGAGCGCCCCACACCGCCTCCAGGTCCTAGCACGCGCGCCTCGCAAGGGTGTCTACGCAGCAGTGATGTCACGGCGTCGGGGCGGGGCCAGCGGCAGGGGCGGGGCCGCTTCCCAGATCTCGCGGAGGGGCGGGCCGGGGGCGGCGGCCCCGCGGGGCACGCTTGGCCCCTGAGGTTTGGACCTGTATAAACGCGCCCTCTCGTCCGCGGGTTGTTGCGGAGAGGCTTGCGGGGTCGGGATGTTGGAGGCGCGTGCGGTCCAGGAGCAGAGCGCGGCGGGCCCGTGTCCCGCAGGCTTCGTGTTAGGGCTGGACGTGGGCAGCTCCGTGATCCGCTGCCACGTCTATGACCACGCGACGCTGATCCGCGGCTCCAGCGCGCAGAAGGTGACCGGGGAGCGAGCGTAGGGGGCGCGGGTCGGGGTCGCACGGAGCGCCCGGGATCTAGTCACTGGAGGCGAGCGGGCGGGTCCTCGGCGTCTGGCCAGGTTGTAGCTACTGGAAGCCCCGGCGGGCCCTCGGTCCTGAGCGGAGGGAGGGGGGAGCGGCCAGATCTCTGAATCACCTCCCCCGGCAGGGCTGACACCCGCGCGCCCTTCCCGTCCCGACTGAGGGCAGGAGGGGCCCGGTTCGGGACCAGGGGTCCTTCGCTCGCTTCTCTCACCTGAGGATTCGCTTTTCCTGGGTGGGAGTGCGGGAACTCGCAGGGTAGAGCAGAGCACTCCGCGCGTATCCAACCAGCAGGTGCTTTGTGACTTGCTAGGTTTTTCCTACTTCCTCGGTAGACTTGCAGCCCCGTCTTTATTTACATTTAAATTTTTCAGATCTTGATAGAATTTATTGTCCATTCTTCAGTTATCATTATTAACTGCTTCTCATAGTGCTGGTTCCTCACCTGAGCGACTGATTTTCATGGATATGGGAGGAATTGGACAAGTTTTGATGGCTGTATTGTCATTACTTTTCTCTTTTTCATCTTTGAGCATTGATAAAAATGCCTTTTTTTCCTGCTTTGAGAAACCTACCAAATCCTTACTTGTTATTAGTAAAGCAACCACAGATTGGTGCTCTCCTGTTCTTATTTTAATGGAGTGTTGATTTCTTCCAGCGCACCAAAATAATGTTGATTTGATGTGGTATCAACATCTTTTTTATGTTAGCAGTATTCGGAGCCATTAGTTACCTAAACCATTCCCCGCAGCACTGGACTCTCCCGTTTGCTCAGTTCTCACCCTTCTTCCCAACCCCTTAATAGTGTTTTTTCAACCGTATTACTTGCCCAGGTGCTGATCTAGCCAAGTGACTGCTTTGAGAAAATGGGGGAGTTTCATTTCATTCTGCTTTCTGGACCAGAACAGTAAGCTGGGACCAAGCAGCTTGGGCCCTTCTCTGCTACCTGTGCAGAAACACCGTCCACCCTCCCTACACACGCCATCACTCCCTCAACCTGAAAGAACACTGTGCTTCAGCGACTATATGCCTCTTATCTTTTTAATGAGTCTTTATCACAACACAGTGATACTTTTCACACAGTGTTCCTCATAATTCTAGATAAAGTACTTTTGTTTTAGGCAGTGATTTTTTTTTTAATTGAAATATTTGGAACCAAAAGGGAGACATGGATTGTGAGAAAATACAAAGTTGCTGTAGAATTTGGGGCAAATGATTAGTTTTTTAGAAATGAGATAGGAATCTAAAAGATGGATCAAGACTATTGTGAGTAACAGAAGACTAGAATGGTTTGCTCAGACTCTCAACCATCAAGTGTCTGGAAAGATACATGAGTTAATAAAAATATAAAAAGTCCCTGCCCTCAAAGGGTGAAACACTTAGATTAAGGAGTTTATAGCAGTGGCTCTCCAACTGCTAGTAAGAGTTCATAGCAGTGCTTTTTTTTTTTTTAAAGATTGTATTTATTTATTTGTCAGAGAGCATAAACAGGGGGAGCAGCAGGCAGAGGCAAAGGGAGAAGCAGGCTCCCTGCTGAGCATGGAGCCCAATGCAGGACTCCATCGCAGGACCCTGGGATCATGACCTGAGCCAAAGGCAGATACTTAACCTACTGAGCCACCGATAACACGGCTGCTTAAGTGTAGTTCCTGGGCACCTGGGGGAGAGATGAAGAAACTTAAGATTTAGAAACTTGTGTGGAGTAGTTTTATGTCTGTTGATCTTACTAACAAAACATTTGGGATTTTTTTTTGTATGTAATTTTTTCCTAGAAAATTGTTTTATGTCTTAAAAATTGTTGGTCCATAACGAATTAAAAAAGAACAATCAGAAATTGGTCATTTACTTCAGATAGCTGTAGTTCTTTGAGAAAGAGGGTCTTATTGGCCTACATTGCTACTTAGCACCTGGTTTATTACCTCCTGAGTACAGAATAAATCATTGATTTGCATTTAATCAAAGTGTTAGGAATTCAGTTTGCTTCATGAGACTGATTGGGCACAGAACTTTTGTTTATTTTCTCCAGCGAAAATCACACCTCTGCTAATATGATGATAAGGCTAGATACAATAGAAACCCAGAACATCTTACTATAGGATTTGACTGATACTGCTACATAAATAGCTTAAAAGAGAAACAGGGAAAGAAAAAGTGAAGAGATCACCCTTAGAGGTAAGAACATAATAGGCTGGGGGTGCCTGGGAGGCTCGGTTGTTAAGCATCTGCCTTCGGCTCAGGTCATGATCCCGGGGTCCTGGGATCAAGTCCTGCATTGGGCTCCCTGCTCAGTCAAAAGCCTGTTTCTCCCTCTCCCACTCCCCCTGTTTGTATTCCCTCTCTTGCTGTCTCTCTCTGTCAAATAAATAAAAATCTTAAAAAAAAAAACAAAAAAACATAATAAGCTATATGGGTCTTTTAATTAAAATTGGAATCCCAAACATGAACCCTTTGTGTTAGAAAGCTGGTACTAGGCCTCTCAGAAGACCGGTTTTATTTCTTGTGGCATTCATTTTTTAACAGCAGAGAAACATTTTTAGGCTTTTTCTATAATTTGTATTTTTTGTTTCTTTTTTTTATAATTTATATATTTTTTAAAGATTTTATTTTTTTGACAGAGAGAGACACAGTGAGAGAGGGAACACAAGCAGGGGGAGCGGAAGAGGGAGAAGCAGCCTTCCCGCCCAGCAGGCAGCATGATGCGGGGCTCAATCCCAGGACCCTGGGATCATGACCTGAGCCGAAGGCAGATGCTTAACGACTGAGCCACCCAGGCGCCATTAATTTGTATTTTTTAAAAAGTCTTTGTATGGATTCTTAAATATTGGTGTTATATACTAGAATAGTATATAGATTTGAAAATCCACATGTCAATATTATCCACATGTCAATGTTTCTAGTTTTAAGGAGAGAAACCATGAAGACTAATAACGTCTTGGTTGGAAGAACAGGACAGAAAGGCCAGTCCAAAGAAAACAGTATAATCTGCACTACTGTGTACGCTTCTGGACAGTATTGAAAAATTCTGGTTGTTTGTTGTCTTTTGTTTTGTTTGTAATCAGCGAAACAAATCTTAGCTTTGGTTATCTTCTTGTCTAATTTGTTTCGTCTTCCCTCAAGACAGGAGATTTTACTATTATGACATTTTTGGGGATAGTGAGTTCTCCGAGCTGGTGGAGTTAGGGGAGTGACCCTGTAGTGCCACCTCCAAGTCTGAAGGTTTGTAGGTTTGATGCAGTGATACCCATATTGAGTTTTTCTGGGATCAGGAAGCATTTATCGCAGTTGAGGCATTTATCTGTGGTCACGAAAGTCTTGCATAGAAAAAACAAATATTATTTGATAGAAGGGGAATGGATTTTGTTAAGTCTGTCTCTGAGAACTCACTGGGGAGTAGTAGACCTTTTTTTCATATCAAACCTTGTCACCCTCATGCTCCCCACATAATCACTATTTCCTAGGCATTCCTTTGTTTTCTTTATTTTGGTCTTTTCTTACATGTTAGATCTTTGGTTGGTTTTTGGTTGTTCCTATTTTCAGTACCACTCGGTGGTCTTACCCTACTCAGCTGGATGTGGTATATATCTGATATTTGCAAAGAAAGCACTCTTCTGGTTAAGTGTCTTTGTGAGTAAACCTTTTACCTTCTGCCTGGTTAGAGAGGGGCGGTGATCTGGCTAGAGGTAGGGATTGGGGATCCTTATAAAGACTTAGAGCCAGGGACGCCTGGATGGCTCAGTCAGTTAAGCATCTGCCTTCCGCTCAGGTCGTGGTCCCAGCGTCCTGGGATTGACCCCTGCATCAGGGTCCTTGCTCAGTGGGGAACTTGCTTCTTCTTATGTTTCTGCTGTTCCCCCCGATTATGCTCTTTCTCACTCTCTGACAAATAAATAAAAATTGTTTAAAAAAAAAAAAGAAGACTTTAAACCAATCTTGTGTTCAACCCCATCTGGCATCCCAGTCTTTGGAGGTGCCTCTAATTTTCAGGACTTTACCATAGAATCTCTGCCTGCCAGGGTTTGAACAAAGGCGTGTCACCTGAGCAGGGAGTGAAGTATTAGTTTTCTCCTCTGTTTAGCCATGTGCCACCAACCCACTCACTGTTCATATTAAAAACATTTGCTAAAACCTGGTCTGAGCCTGTTTGCTCTCTTAGCATTGTCTCTCTGCATAAACCTTTTTAATGTTTTTATTTTAATGGAATCTTGAGAGGAATTGGAGGTAAGATATGTAGGTTTAAGCCATCATGTTAAACTGAAGCCATGGCTTCTTCCCCCCCCCCCCCATGGCTTCTTTTTATTTTATGTTTTAAATTAACATACAGTAAAATTGCCTTTTTGGTGAATAAGTTCTGTGACTTTTAGCCAATGTAGGAGTAATCCCCAAAACTCGTATTAGCCCTTTGTAATGCTAGCCCTTTGTAGTCATACTCCTCCCACACCTAACACTGATCAATTTTCCATGTCCATAGTTTTGTCCTTTTGAGAATGTCCTATAAGTGGAACAATATAGTCAGTAACCTTTGGAGACTGGCTTTTTTCAGCATAATGCCTTTGAGATTTGTCCATATTATGTATATCAATAGTTTATTCATTTTTATTTCTATGTAGTAATCCATTAGATGGATGTGCCACATTCATTCACCAGTTGAAGTACACTTAGGTTGTATCCATGTTTCTGGTGATTGTGATCAGAGCTGCTATAAACATTTGTGTACAGATTTTAATGCGAACCTAACTTTGCTCTTCTCTAGAATAAATACGTAGGAGTGGTATTGTTGGGTCACATAGTAAATGAATGTTTAACTTAACAAAAAATTACCACGCATTTTTAAAGTGGCTGTACTATTTTGCATTCTCACCAGCAATGTATAAGAGTTCTTCACTGACACTTGAAATTGTTAGTGTTTTTTATTTTATGCATTCTGGTAGACGTAGTAGTATCTCATTGTGGTTTTGATTTGCATTTCACTAATGTTTAATGATGCTGAATATTTCTCTATGCGTATATGCTATACATATATATCTTCTTTGGCGAAGTGCCTGTTCAAGTCTTTTGCTCGTTTTTTAATTGGGTTGTTTTCTTACTGTTGAATTTTGAGATTTTTTCATATATTCTGAATGTAAATGCTGTGTTGGATGTGTGATTTACAGATATTTTAAGCCAGTCTGTGTTTTGTCTTTTCATTTTCTTAATTAACCGTGTCTTTTGCAGGGCAAATGTTTTTAATTTTGATGTTCAATTTGTCAGTTTCTCTGTTTTTTGAATGGTTATTTTGGTGTCATGTCTAAGAGCACTTCCATGTCTTTTGCAGGGCAAATGTTTTTAATTTTGATGTTCAATTTATCAGTTTCTCTGTTTTATGAATGGTAATTTTGGTGTCATGTCTAAGAGCACTTCATCTAATACCACATCACAAATATTTTTTTCCTGTGTTTTCTTCTAAATATTTTATAGTTTTATGTCTTAAATTTAGATCTGTGATCAATTTTGAGTGAAGTTTTGTGTAAGATGTGAGTTTGAGGTTAATTTTTTTGCATATAAATGTCTGATTGTTTCCAACTGTTGAAAAAGCTATCTTTTTTCCATTGAATTGTTTTGTATATACTTGTCAAAATAAATTAGCTATATTTGTGTCAGTCTTTTTCTGAACTTTGTTCCATTGATATCTAGTTGTTCATTTATTTTTTAAAAAATTTCATTTATTTATTTTAGGGAGAGAGAGAACACACAAGTAGGGCGAGGGACAGAGATAAGCTTACTCTGCACTGAGCACTGAGCCCAACATAGGGCTGGATCTCAGGACACTTAACCAACTAAGCCACCCAGGCACCCCCTATTTCTTCATTTTTGTGCTAGTAGCACACTGTTTTGGCTAATATAACATTATAATAAGTCTTAAAATTGTATAATAAGTCTTAAAAAAGTATGATTTCTCCAGTTTAATTGTCAACATTTTTCTGGTTATTTTGTTCTTTTGCTTTCTCCTATAAATTTTAGAATCATCGTGTCTGTATCTACAAAAAAATCCTACTGGGATTTTGATATGCAATTGTAGATGGTATTTCTTTAGCACTTTAGAAATGTTGAACCACTTCCTCCTGGCCTCCATGGCTCTGATGAGAAGTCTGCAGTCATACAGAATCATTGTTCTATATATATAATGTGTGACTGCTTTCAAGATTTTCCTTAGTTTTTGGTTTTCAGCATTTTAATTATGCTGGATCTGGATGTGTAATGCTTTGGACTTATCCTTTTAGGAGTCTTCTAAGTTTCTTGAATATATAGATTTTAAGTCTTCCACTGAACTTGAAAAATTTTTAGCACTATTACTTCCCTAATTTTTTTTTTTTTTGCATTGAACTCTCTCTTTTTTTTTTTTTTCCTTTTTTGGGGAATCTGATGACTTAAATACTAGACCTTTTGCTCCTGTCTCATAGATCCCTGAGGCTTTATTCATTCTTTTTTGCCAATATTTTTTCTTTCTGTTATTTAAGTTAGATAATTTCCATTACTCTATCTTTGGTTTACTGACTTTCTTCTGTTGTCTTTATTCTCTTGTTAAGCCCATCCAGTATGTTTTTTATTTTAATTCTATTTTTTTAAAATTGATTTTCCAGCTTTATTGAGGTATAATTGAAAATAAAAGTTGTATATAGGTAGGGTATACAACTTGATGTTTTGGTACACATATACATTGTGAAATGATTACCATAATTAGGCTAATTAACATACCCATTACCTCACGCTATTTGTGTATGTGTGTGCGTTGAGAACACTTGAGAACTGCTCTCCTAGCAAATTTCAAGTATACAGTACATTATTATTAACTATAGTCACCATGATGGATGTTAGGTCTCCAGAACTCATTCATCTTATAACTGAAAGTTTGTACCCCTTGACCAGCCTCTCTGCACTTCTTCACTTCTCCTAATTATTGTATTTTTGAGTTATAAAAATTTTATTTTGTTTTTCTTTTTGTCTTATATTTCTTGGCTAAGACTTTCTGTTTTGCCATTTGTTTCAAAAGAATTTGCCCTTTCTTCTTGGAACATTTTTATAATCACTGCTTATGAAGTCTTGATCAGATACCTGTCATCTTGACATTGGCCTCTATTATCTTTTCCCATGTGAGGTGAGAATTTTCTAGTCCTTCATATATCTTGCAATTTCAGACTATATCATGGACATTTTGAATATAGTGTTATAAGACTCCAGGTCTTATGTAAATCCTATGATGAATGTTGATATTTTTCTTTTAACAGGCAGTTAATGCAGTTGGATTCAGCCTACAAATTCTGCCAGTTTTTCTGTGAACTTTGGTTTCAGTGTTTGTCATTTCCAGAATCTTGACAGTACTATTTGTACCTGCCCTGTGAATGTGCCACCTAGTAGCCCGTCTGGTACCCGGGTAGGGGTTTGTCCCTTAGTTCTTAACATCTTTGCCATGTTGTTTATATTACAGTTCACACATGTACAGCTTCAAGGTGAGTCTCGGAATTCATACTCAACTTTCCAGAAATGCTTTCCCAAGCTCCTCCCTCTCTGAGATGGTGTGGTACTTTTTGGTCCCCTAAGCTTCCCCTTTTGTCTCCTCTTACCAGAAAGCTGGAGCTTTCATTACCCTACTCTGCTGGCATTTCCTATGCCCACAGCTGCGGCTGCACATCAGGACCGCAGAGAGAGAGAGAGAAAAAAATATGGCAGTCTTGGGTCCTATCTTCTCTGGTTGGAGAGGGAGTTTTACCTCCTTCAGTATTTTAGGTATTGCAATTACTACTGCAACCATTAGCCTGGGCACAAAAGTATGGAGGGAAGCAGGGGAAAAAGGAAATATGGGGGATTTCTCCCATTCTCTCTGAGTGTTAGCCAAAACATGAGAGCTTCTCTTGGAGTTTCCACTGCATCCTAGTACCCACTTCTGGTTTAGTGGACTGTCTTGATTATACCAGGGAATATCAGGGAAGAAATTGGAAACTCACCACCAGTTAGCTGTACTCGAATTCTTATCCTCCTCCATCTTCCTGCCACCTTAGATTTTTTAGAGTGTGCATTCAGCCCACGTTTTATCCCTGCGTTCAGTGGTAGAGGCAGGGTGGATTGTGTTTCCTCCATCATAATCTGAATCAGAACTTGGTACTTTATTTGTTAATTTTTGTTTTTAAAAATTTTTTTTCTTATAAAAATAGTACATCTTCATTATAGAAAACTTAGAAAGTAAAGATAAAATAAAGTTAAAATTTTCTGTAAACTCATGAACTAGAGAAAGCTTTTATTTCATAATTTCTATTTTAACAATAAAATTAATTAGATAATAAATGAAATAAAATTGTTAATCATTTTAACCATTTAAAAAATTTTAAGACCCAGATGTTATTGACTTACCTAATGTTGTTTTTACGAAATTTTCTTTTTCCAAATAGATAGAAAGTCTTCATCCTCAAGCTGGCTGGGTTGAAATTGATCCCGATGTTCTCTGGCTTCAGTTTGTGACTGTAATAAAAGAATCTGTTCAAGGTAATTAGACTTGCAAAAATAAAAATAATAAAGTGTATTTTGTTTGTAGTAAAAGTTTTCCTCAGTCTGTCGAATTTTGTGGGTTTCCTAAGTTATGATTACACAAATAGTATTTTACTGGGGTAAAATTTCTCAGTATTTTTCGGCAGACATCTGTGATTTATAATTAACCACTTTGTCAAGGAAAGGTAACAGCAACTCTCTGTCCTCTGGTTTAAATCTTTTTTCAATACAGTATAAAGGCTTACTTTGCTTCTTCATTCGGGGTTGTGGCTAGTGCTCATTCGACTTCCTATTGTGTACAAAATACTAGGGGGTTATAAACAAAATTATAACCCACAGTTCCTGCTCTCGGGAATTTACAGCTGTGTTACCTGTATTTTTTTTTTTTTAATGTTTTATTTACTCATCCGAGAGAGAGAGGGAGGGAGCACAAGCAGGGGAAGGGGTAGAGGCAGAGGGAGAAGCAGGCTCCTTGCTGAGCAAGGAGCCCAATGCCAGACTTGATCCCTGGACCCTGGGATCATGACCTGAGTGGAAGGAAAAAGCTTAACTGACTGAACCACCCAGGCACCTGAAATCTTAACTCTTTAAGGACATTTTCCCCGTGTAACTATTTTAAGAATATGGCAAGAGATGACTTATAAATATGAATTCTAAAAGATCTTTCATTTTATTTTTGTGTCTCAGTTGCTTCTCCTTCTTGCCTTTTTGGTTTGAAATACTTCAAAACTTATTTTAAAAAGCTGCAAGAATAGTACATGGAACACCTGTATGCCTTTTCCCAGATTCACACATGTTTAGCAGTGTTTATCATTCTATACAAACTCTTTTTTTTGACCCATTTAAGGGTTCATTTGACATAATTACCTGTGATCCCTAAATAATTCAGCATTACCTCCAAAGGAAGGGAGAATTCTCCTATATAAGCACACTGCACATATCACAGAGGAAAGTTAACATTAATACAGTAATATTTTCTAATACTTAATCTTCAGTATTCCTCTCTTATCTCAGTCATTAATAGGTTTTTTTTCCCAATCTAGAATCTGTCCAAAGGTGAGGCATTGCATTTGGCAGTCAGTCTAGTCTCTTTTAATCTAGAGCATGTTATTCGTGGCACTGACAGTTTTCAGAGGTATAGACCAGTTTATTAGATGGTCCTGCATTTTGCGGTTGTCTTATTTCCCCATGATTAGATTCAGGTTAAATATTTTTCAGGGGAGCACTATACAGGGGTGAAGTATCTTCCTCAGTGCTCAAATTCAAGTTGTACCTAATTTTCCTAGTGGGATAAATTGCTTTTCTTAAAGAATATCACAAAATATACTTGAGTTGCAATATTTTGAGAAGTATGAACCAGGAAGACCATGGGGTTTTTTTTTCTTTTTTCTTTTAAAGATTTTGTTTATTTATTTGACAGAGAGAGAGAACGAGAGAAAGAATCTCTCTTCTTGGGTAAGGAGCCCGATGCAGGACTGGATCCCAGGACCCTGGGATCATGACCTGAGCGGAAGGCAGACACTTAACTGACTGAGCCGCTCAGGTGCCCCAGAAAGACCACATTCCTATTTGCATCTTAGCATCTGTTAAGATCTAAGCTTCAGTAATTATACTATTTTCCCTGGGAATTTTTCTTGTCATCAACCATCAACTTATATTATGTTGTGGCGACCGTAAAAATAAGTTGTTATACCAACGAAGGGCGATTTATTCAAGAGTAGCAATTTGGGACGAGCAAGCTACAGCAAAAACCGTAGGCTAGTCCAGCAAACAAAGGAAAGGAATGTTATTTTGTGGAAAAGGAGAAAGAGGTTGGGAAAGATTGTTTTGAACTGTAGTCCATTGGAGAAAAGTGAGAGTTTGGGGTAATGATGGTTTTTCATTGGCTGGGGTAAATTTATTTTAGCAGATGCAATGTACATCTTTTCTCGTTAATGACCTATAATTGCCGATTCCTTCCTGCTAAGGATTCTACTCTTGGGGTCTATGATTGATAGGTCTTCCTGTAATTGACCCAGTGGTTTGGCCTGCAATGCATTTTAGAGAGGTTTCCCTTTATTAATTTTTATAGGTTGATCATTGCTTGAATTAAGATCAGTCTTTTAGTATTATCAAGAAGAAATATAGTCTAACTTACTTTGAGTGGTGTTTGCTTTTTTTTCTAACATTTAAAACAAAAAGCTCCTTTTCTTATTATTAGAATATGACCTTTTTCCCTTTAAGTAAAAAATTACTGTAAAACCATCTTAGTAGTGCTTCCTTTATTAGCTCCAGTTATGTTACTAAATGCTAAACCGGTTGTTTCCCTTAAAGATTATATTGAATGATTTATTCCCCATACTGTAATATTATAAAGAAAAGCTTTACTAGCTTTTAAACATGTGTTTTACCTATCTTTATTTTTAGCTGCTGGGATAGAGATGAATCAAGTTGTTGGTCTTGGCATTTCAACACAGAGAGGAACTTTTATTACGTGGAACAAGTAAGTGCATTGTGTGATAAGCATTCTGTTGCTGGGTTTGGACCACAGTGAATACATCGCTCCATTGCTGTGAAACCTTTTTGGAGAGTTTAAATTGGTGAATTAATAGCAGTTTAACTTGGTTAAGAGGGATGAAAGTGGGCCTACTTTCTGGCATTTTAAAATACGCTCCCTGCATGTTATCTGAGGTCGACTTACATAAAATGATAACAATAAAAAGTATTGTTACTGTCATAAAATTCTCCATTCCTTTCTTTTGATATAAGGTAGTTTTTCAACTAAGCATGGATTGAAATCTTAAAAATTAGCTTATACCAAAAAAGATTCAAGAGAGACTAACAAATTTCATAAACACGATTCTATAATTATGGTTTATATTTTCAGTCTATTACAAATTTAATATTTAAGTACCTACAACATATGGGGTATGTGTAGATTAAACACAATTATAATATAATGGTTATCATATAGTGAATATCTATATTTCAGGTTCTGTTATCCTAACAAACAAACTTGTTCTTTAGGTATTACGACTCTTTTATACAGGAAGAAACCAGGGCTCAGTGAAATAATTATGTAAGTGGTTCAAGGCCACTCAGCTAATAAATAGAGCCAAGATTCCAAATTATCTTTTTGAACTCCAGACATGCTCTTTCCACTACACCCATATTGCCTTCAACATGAGTTTCTTTAAATTTTTTAAGGTTTTATTTATTTGAAAGAGAGAGAGAGAAAATGAGAGAGAGCATGAGAGCGGGGTGGGTGTTAGAGGGAGAAACAGACTCCCCGCTGAGCAGGGAGCCCGATGTGGGGCTTGATTCTGGCACTCTGGGATCATGCATGACCTGAGCCGAAGGCAGACGCTTAACCAACTAAGCCTCCCAGGAGCCCCAACATGATTTTCATTAAAAACAATAACAACAACCACAAAACTCTATAAGATGTTTTTTTGTTACAAAGCACTAGACTCCAAAGGCATCTTGAGCACAGGGCAGTGGGGAGGAAAAGTAGTAGATATAGGAAGTAGGTATAAGTGTTAGAAACATAATCTGGGTGAATTCACAAGGTCTTGGCCTTTATTTCAGTATTGGATAAGAGGAAAAAGTTTAACTTTACCAATATGTCTGGCCTTGATGTTAGAGGGGATATGATAGAAATTATAGAGAACATTAGAGGAGGAATGAGTTAGATGGTGATGAGGGTGGGTAGAAGGGAATATGATGAAGTGTTTGGTTTGGGATATGTGAATATGGAGATACCCCAAAGGCGGTTTGAACGTTTGTCTGGTTTAACTAAGGCATGGCGCATTTCCTCTAGATAAGTGCTTTTTCTTTCAAGATACAATGTATCTCAGATGGTTGCCTGCATCTACAGCATGCCTTCCCCAAACTTCCCAACCTGTGTGCTGGGTAGAGCACGTCTTAAATAGGTGATATATTTGCCAGATGAAAGACTAAATGAATTAAAGTCATCTGGGTAGATCACGATTTCTAAAGAGTGGCACTGTTCACATTTTGGGCCAGATGATTCCTAGTTGTTGGGGGCTGTCCTGGGCATTGTAGGGTGTTAGGCAGCATCCCTGGTCTCTGCCCACCAGGTACCAGCCGCACCCCACTCCTCCAGTTGTGACAACCAAAGACATCTCCAGACGTTGTCCAAAGTCCCTTGGGGGACAGAATCACTCCTAGTGGAGGATTGTTGATATAGACTGAGTCAAGAGAAATAGGTGTGTTCTCTGATAGGAATTACATGGATAGAAAAAAAAGAAGACTGAGGATTTGGACAATGAATATTGGCCCCTCCACCCAACATAAACGGGATCAGAAAGCAAAAAGCTGTCATGATAGGACAAACATGGATCTGGGAAGTAGGTGGATGGAAGTGGGGGCAAGGGAGTGTTCCTAGGGAATTAACTCACTGGAAGTGTTGTGTTTTGTTGGATTTGGAGATTAGATCATTGCCCACAAAGATTGTTTACATCAGGGACACCTGGGTGGCTCAGTTGGTTGGACGACTGCTTTCGGCTCAGGTCATGATCCCGGACTCCCGGGATCGAGTCCCGCATCGGGCTCCCAGCTCCGTGGGGAGTCTGCTTCTCCCTCTGACCTTCTCCTCGCTCATGCTCTCTCTCACTGCCTCTCTCTCAAATAAATAAATAAAATCTTTAAAAAAAAAAAAGATAGTTTACATCAAAACCTAGATAGGTCATTCATAACAGGAAGATTAAGATATTAGGAAGAAAGTTTGTATGTGGCAATAAGGCCATGTTTCACTTTTGGGAGAAACAGAGGAGTCAGGTCAGGTTCCAAGACCATTCACTTCCCTTACTGGTAATGGTGTCCTTGTGGAAGGGTAAGATTTCTTCCTAAGACAGTAAATTGTGAATTTTCTCCTTGACTGTCCTTTTTTGAGATGTTTGTATTCTTTCACGAGTTTTGGAAACTTTGCTTGTAGGAACTGAAACGCTAGAGATTTTCCCAAAAAAACCCACACAAGGCTTTGTGCTTCTTTTACCTTGAAATAATGGAGTCTTAAAATAATGCTCCCCGAGTCTTCGTGAGCCACGGTAGCACAGAATGTCGGCAGATCTGCAAGCGCCACAACAGAGAGCGGAGATACAGTGCAGAAGTGGGCACGGCTCCGAGCCAGCAGGAAGTACCTCGTGCTCATTTTCTGGAGAAAGGTTGACAGACAGGCCCCTGGCACAGTCTGCTGTGCATTCCAGTCCCAGCCTGCACCTCCTTGCCCCAGCTCACCGCTTCTTTCTCCTGCAGTCACGGCCGTGGTCCTGTTGTCCTGGCCATACAAACATTATTTTCCGGTTGTTGCTGTCAGGATGTCTAAAACTTTGAACTTTGTTTTTGTTTTTCTCTTTCCCCCTCCTTTCGATGCCAGGAAACTTGGTCCTTGTGTTTTCTTCATATTCTTCAGGTTAAAAAAATTTTCTCAATGTATTTAATCAGTGGTGTGTTTAGCCTGCCTCTTCCAGTAATGGCATATCTCCTCCCTCTTGGTTGTTTTCAGTTCCTTTTGTTCTAAAATATCTGAGCTGTTTTGGTTCTTCAATCTCTGTGTCTCTCAGGGAGGCTTCTGCCTGCTAACCTCGGATCAGGGTGTGTGCCAATTAGTAACATAAACTGTGAGTCATGCAAGCAAACTGAGATTCCCTCAGTAACTGAGGACTCACAGGGAGTGAAGCACTGTGCTGGCTGCAGAGCTGAATACGAAAATGAGTAAGAGCACCAGCCCTCAAGGAATTTGCAGTCTCTTAATACAAGTATACAAATGAGCCTGTGTTCCCGCAGCACCAAATACATCTTTTATTGTGGTACCTGATACTTGTGTTAATGGTTCTTACGAATTACTTATGACACAAATATATTAAGAGCCACGAAATGGCGCAATGTGTTAGAGAGGTTTAAGGCAACTCATTTACAATATTGCTATTGACGTTTTTCCTCCATTTCTCCTTTTATTGTTGACAGAGGGAAAACGAGCCCAAATCACTGCTAAGTGAATATTGGAATATGCGCTGCTTCTTGAGATCAGTATTCTAGATTGTCTTCTACCATGTCATGAATTAATGATGTCACTCTCCTCTTGTGATCCTCTCCCTGTCCTTGTTCTTCAGCTCTGCTAGCATCTAACGCGTCGTGCTTCATCCTGGCTGACAAGTTTGGAACGTATAATATATTTAGTCAGGAGTGTTCAACCTCCTGGTTTGTTCCTTCTCATCCTTCAGAGCTTGATTCTATTGTCATTTCTCGTGGAAGTCTTTCCTGACCTCTGCACTGGGCAAGGTCTCCCTGTTAGTATATTCATGGCAGTCTGTATTTTTCCTTCAGAAGACTTATTCCTATAGTAAGTAAGCAATTGAGTAATTGAGTATTTCTTTGGTTTCCCTGGTAGAGAATATATTCATAGGGGCAAAGATGTCGTGTCTCTCTCTTCTTCATACCTATGTCCCCAGCTCCTGGCACAAATTGCTGTGTAAGCATTTGATGAATCAGTGATTAAAGATCAGATTTAAGTGTGTAAGTAGATGCTATTGTGTGTAGAATGGCACAGAGAATCGTGTATGTGTAGATTTCACTTCTGTCAAACACAGTCTGATAGTCCTGATTGGTAGCAGCATTCATTTTTCAAATACTTCTTTGGTGTCTGGGCTAGGGGGTGAGAATCTGAAAGTGAATAGACTGTGTCTTCAGGAGGCTCACGGTCCAGTGGGAGATACAGATGTGATCCTTCGATAGGGTACAGGCTGGTAGAAATCTGCCCAGTAGAATTGCTGTGTACCTGATAATGAAGGAGCTGACGGGGAATAGTGTAGAAGAATAGTGTAGAAGAAGGTGGAATGAGGCAGGGTTTTACAGAGTCACTTGAGCCAGGCCTTGTAGGATGAGCAGGAGTTTTCTAAGTGGGAAGAGCAAATCACTGGCAAAAACAGTAGCTGGAAGAGCATGGTATGTTTGAAGAATGAGAAGTACTGTAGATTTCAAGGGGTAATGTCGAGAAGGCGCCACCACCACGTGTTCTGACTCCTTCCTGACACTGACCTTCTCTCAGACTCCCCTCCTCCTATTCTGTGCTCCAGCCACACTGGCCTGCTCTCTGTTTCTTGAACACTCCCCACTGGTTCCTACTTTTGTTATGAGCAGCTTTGCACCTGTTGCTCCCTCCATCTGGAGCTCTCTTACCTGAGAACTTACCTCTTTCCCATCATTCAGACTTCACTGCAGAGATCATTTCTCCTAGGAGACCTTCCCTGACTATTTTACTTGCCTATCACTTTACCATTTTATTTTCTTCACATCGCTTATTATCCAAAATTCTTTTTTTTCTGAGATTTTATTTATTTATTTGAGAGACAGATAGTGAGAACAGAGCACAAGCAGGGGGAGAAGGAGAAGCGAGCTCCCTGCTGAGCAGGGAAACCTGTCATGGGCTTGATCCCAGGACGCGGGGATCATGACCCGAGCCAAAGGCAGACGCTTAACCAACTGAGCCACCCAGGTGCCCCTAAAATTCTTATTTATTTATTTGCATATTTATTTTTATTACATATCTCTCATTGGAGTAGGAAGTCCCATGTTGGGATTTCTGTCTGCCCTATTCTCACTGGATCCTTCATACTTAGAACAGTGCCTGGCACATAGTAGGCACTCAGATCTTTGTGACTGAGATGTACCTAGAGAGGAAGGCAAGGTCCCAATCCAGGAAAGGCCACTTGTTGTGGTAAGGCTAAGGAGTTTGTCTCTTACAAGAAGTGGGAAACTATCAAAAGCCATTAAGCAAGAAGAGGAATGTGACCAAATTTACATTTGAGAAAGAATATTCTTGAATCAGGGCAGTCTGTATTTCTCCTTCAGTGGACTTATTCCTGTAGTAAGTGAGCAGTTGAGTAGATCTGAGGGGAATGAGACTAAGTCTGAGAAGTCTTTTTGAAGGCTATTGTTTATTCAGGTCTCTGTTGTCATATCTGAAAACACTCCCCACTCCCACTTACTCTATTCCTTTACCATGCCAGTGTTTTGCAGCATGATCCTTACATGAAATGATAGGGGGAAAAACGTTGGCAAAGGACACAAAGAAAACCCTATATACTTAGAGAGGTAGAAGGAGAAACATCACAATGATAACATGGAAGTTTAGGAAAGTGACAGTTTTAGGTAGGAAGAAGTGATTGTCAGGAGTCAATATTGCAGAAAGGTCAAGTCAAATTGAAAAGGAATCTGTAAATCTGGAAATTAGGAAACCAACATTACACAGTGAATGTAATTTTCATGAATGATTAGAAATCTCAGTTGCATTTGAATTGTGTTCAGTTGAGGTAATGGGAGGTGATGAGGAAATTTTGAAGGGGCTTAGTTAGGTGTGGGGGGCATCCTGGGTTAGGAGAGGTATTTTTGGTTCTGTTTCAAATGTGGGAGATTTAAGCATGTGCAGAAAGAGAGTTGATGGAATACTGATGAAATGAAGTGATGGAAGAGTCGGGAAGGCATGGGTATAGAGAGTTCAGGTGGAGCTGCCAGCCTGTGACATGAGAGGGAAAGCTTTTCCTCTGAACCAAAAGAGAAGTGGGAGAAATGGGGATTTAGGAAAGTCATTCCTGTGTCTTTACTTCCTTTGAGAAGCAGGTGGTAGTGCTGGCCTAGGGCTTAAGAAATCTGTGAAAATTAAGATGTACCATTTGTGGGGCATGGCGGGGGAACTAATGAGGGACAAGAGAAAGACTTTTATTGTTTTAAGTGACTCTGAGGACATAGACAAGGTTGTGTTCCATAGACAATGGATTGGTATCAGTTCACAAGGTTCTGGCATTGAAAGTAGACACAGAAGAAAGCTGGTAGGATCCCAGGTTAGGTGTTGAAAAGGTAAATGGTTAACTGGAAAGATCAGGGGTAGAGAGTGACATTGTGCAGAAAAAGGGAGAAGGAATTGGTGAGAGTTGGATAAATCAAGCATTGAGTTAGGAAGAGAGGTTGTAGTAAACTATTTTGGAACTCTAGAACCTGATCAGGCCTTGTAACAACTAGGGGATGCTGGATGAAGGTAGAGGCTACTATTCTCAGGTAAGAGGGTGTGTGCAAACCGGCCATCAACCTTTACTCCTCAGCCCTGCTTTGGGTGTGGGGAAAGCAGCTCACATTCCTGGAGTGAGTGGAAGGTGCCAGGGCAGGCAGTGGGGACATTGTCCTACAAAAATTTGAGTGTGTATGCTTTGGTGGATTTGATTGTGCCCTACAGAACTGGCACGGATGCTCACCTAGGTTCCAGCCCTCTCAGCTGCAGTGGCTTTCACAGGTTGTGTCTGTAGGAAGATTTAAAGGGCCAGTACCTTTGGGGGATTCTTTTGGAGCTAGACATGGAAGGCATGTGTCTTGGTCTGCATCTTGGTATGTTTGGTTTGTAATCTCATCTATAGGAAAATTGGAATATTGCTTCTCTGATTTGCATTAATGATAATGGTGACTATTTGGATCACTGAAGGAAAAAAAAGTAACATGTTCATGATGTAGGTGAATGCTGTGATTCTCATTAATAGAGGTGAAAAATGGGGGGAGGACGCTATTAAGAGAGTGAAAACTCAAAAAATGGTGGAGAGTATTTATTTCTAAGTCATCTATTTGATAAAGAATTAATATTTAGAATATATAAAGAACTCCTACATCTCAACAGCAAAAAAAACAAATAACCCAATTCATAAATGGACAGAGGACTGGAATAATATACAATTAGTTAATAAGCACATGGAAGGATGTACAATATCATTAGCCATTGGGGAAACACATATCAAAACCACAATGAGGTATCACTTCACACCCATCAGGATGGCTATAATTTTTAAAATGGAGAGGGTGCCTGGGTGGCTCATTTATTAAGCGTCTGCCTTAGGCTCGGGTCATGATCCCAAGATCCTGGGATCAAGCCCTGTGTTGGGTTCCCTGCTCAGTGGGAAGCCTCTTTCTTCCTCTCCCACTCCTCCTGTTTGTGTTCCCTCTCTTGCTGTCTCTCTCCTTCTGTCAAATAAATAAATACAAATCTTTTAAAAAATTAAAAAAAATAGAGAATGACAAGTGTTGGGGAGGATGGGGAAACATTGGAATTCTTGTATACTGGTGGCAAGGATGTAAAATGGTGTAGCCGCTGTGGGAAAAAGTTCAACAGATCTTCAAAAAGTAGACTTACCATATGACCCAGCAATTCTCATCCTAGGGGTTTGTGCAGAGAGGTTGGAAACAGGGATTCAAACAGGTATAGCAGTGTTTATAGCAGCATTGTGCATCGTGGCAAGAAGCTGGAAACAACCCAAATGTTTAGAAATAATGGGGACAGTAACATAGAACATTGTGGACTGTACTTAACGCCACTGAACTGTGTACTTAAACATGTTTAAAATGGCAAATTTCATGTTACGTATATTTTACCACAATTTTTAGAGAGTCAAGGGGTAGAGAGTGTGCTAGGTCATGGGATGCAAGAATGGAAGGAAGCCTGGGAGAGGTTGGTAGGAAGAAAAGGGAATGTTTGAGGGATTAAAGGCTGCAGTGAGGTTGAAGGGAAGGCATTTAGAGAGTAAGATTGAGAGAACTGGAATAATAGCAAGAAGTGTCGACTAATATATTGGAATGTTAGAATTTCAGGAGTAGAATGTCCCCAGGTTAATAAAGTTGAGGACATGCTCTTGAGTATGGACTGCTTAAGAAGTAGGGGTTATGACAGTCTGGGGAATTGAACGTGGCCAACCCACACGGGAGGGCACCTGGAAATAGAGTAGAAAGCAAGTCTGAGTTGAATGTCGAAGATTGGTAGATGTCAGTGGTTGATTTACAATAGCCAAAAAGGGAAATGATTTATTTCTACTATATTTCTTAGTTTTGTACTTACATTGCAGTGCCCACCCAGAGGTTGTTAAATTTCTTTTCACTAGACACATTTTGATAAGCCTGGTAGGTTGCCAGTGGCTAAGCCAGTCATAAAGTTGAGAGACGTAGAAATAGGTTTAGGCAATATTTCAGCTCTTCTGTAGGTACAGAGGTTTTGATCTGATAAATGAAGGGGGAAAGCATTGGCTTCTTTTTAAGGTGTATGGGCAAGTATTTAAAGGGCTTTTCATTAAATTTCTTGTGTTTTAGAAGTATGCACATTGTACTGCTTCAAAAAGAGCATCTTTCCTATTAGAATTTGGTCTAGAATTTCATATTATGTATCATATTATAATACTTACAAAATGTGTTCAATTTATAAAATAAGTCATTCAGCAAGCCCCGTTTAATTTAACTCATACTTTGAGATTCCAGTGTGCCCTCTAATTTTGTTTTCTCTTATGGCAGATCTTTTATTTAATATAGCTTCGATTCATATTGAGTCTCCAAATACTGTTTTTATCATTCATAGGAAAACAGGAAATCATTTTCACAACTTCATTAGTTGGCAAGACCTAAGAGCTGTTGAACTTGTAAAATCTTGGAATAATTCGCTCAGACTGAAGGTAATCTTTTTCTTCTGTGATTTGGATATTGCTGTTTTCCCTGTAAATGTCCCTTAACTATAGGCTTAAGTGTATAATCTCCTATTTGTACTGCTTTAGGAGATTGAGAAGAGAATACACATATGCACCCTCCTCACATCAGTGAAACTTAGTAATAGTTACCCACAAGCAGATGTGGTAGACTAAAGTACTACATTTCAGGAAACCCTGAGGAGGTTTAGGACGGTCCAGATGTTCTCACATAAGTGAGAATTCATTCCTGGAGAAGAATTTGCCAAGTTGCCATTCTTGGAGAAATAGACAAAATGCAGACTGTGTCCAGAAAGAAAATAGGAAAGTGTCCAGATTTCATCCTCTTTTATTAGAAAAGTGGAGAATGGACATTGAGATCGATAACTAGCTGACTGCCACGAGCTCTTCACTGATGCCTGTCACATAAAGGTCGCAAATGACAACGGTGACAACCATGACGGTGACCTCAGTGGCGGTGGCAATGTAAGTGTGGGATTACTGAGTCAGAGGGTAAGACAATTTCCAAATGTGGCCAGATCTGGTATAATCAATACTGCGGATTGCCTACGGTGTGTTGCAATATTCCATGTTCTAATGCCGCCCAGCTAAATGCCTCCTCAGCTCGGGTGCCCGTACCAGGTAGTGCTTCAGGGAATATCTGGAGCATTGGTTTTACTCAACAACTATTTGGAGACATTAATTTTATATGAAAACAAACAAAGATATTATAGATATTATGGACTCTGACAGCAGTGCATGAGTGCAAGAGACACTTTTGCCATAATCTCACCCGCAGTTGGTTTTTCTTTTGTTAGTATAATGTATGAAAATGCACCTTGCTTTAATAACTTGAAAGGCTGAGAACCAAGAGGTGCTCTTTACAGGACAGACTAATCAAGGAGTTGAAAATAATTATAAGGAAATGTCATGAACTTTGAATGGTATAATTTTAAATTATACTACTTACAATGTAGAATTCTGTATCTTAATGCGTAATTTTAGTTTTTAATAGGTCAATTCATCAAACATTTCTTAGGTCTGTCAGTGAGGTATTTATAACTTTTATTCTTTTAAAAATAAGTTTTGAGGGGCGCCTGGGTGGCTCAGTAGGTTAAAGCCTCTGCCTTTGGCTTGGGTCATGATCCCGGGGTCCTGGGATTGAGCCCCGCATCGGGCTCTCTGCTCGGCGGGGAGCCTGCTTCCTCCTCTCTCTCTGCCTACTTGTGATCTCTGTCTGTCAAACAAACAAATAAAATCTTTAAAAAAAAATAAGTTTTGACTTTGGAAATATTTACGTCTGTAGTACATACCCCAAATCTCACATATAAAACTCACTTCAGGCACAAAAATCAGCCTTTAAAGCTCTTCATCTACTTGATATTGAGGATGTGCATGATGTAAGCTTTGGCTTTTCTTAGGAGACAAATGTACACAGACAGATATTTAGCACACACGATGCCAGGGCCTGGCCTGCCGCTGAGAGAAGCCTACCCTGCACTCATCCTATACAGATGCTTTTTCTTTCTTTCTCTCTTTTTTTCTTTTTTAAGGTTTTATTTATTTATTTGACAGAGAGATCACCAGTAGGCAGAGAGGCAGGCAGAGAGAGAGAAAGAGAGAGAGAGAGAAGCAGGCTCCCTGCTGAGCAGAGAGCCTGATGCGGGGCTCAATCCCAGGACCCTGAGATCGTTACCTGAGCCGAAGGCAGAGGCTTTAACCCACTGAGCCACCCAGGTGCCCGCTTTTTTTTTTTTTCTTAAGGATTTTATTTTTAAGTAATCTCAGCATGGGGCTCAGACTTACAACCCCAAGATCAAGAGTTGCACGCTCTACCAACTGAGCCAGCCAGGCACCCCTCTCCTGGATGCTCATGGTTTATTGATTGAGGTTATGGAAATGTTGAGGGTATATGTGCCAGAGATGGCACCAAAGTCATTTGTTTAGCCAATGCTAGCTCCAAACAAAGTGGTGAAATAATTGACCTGTGTTGGCAGTCTCCTGGCACCATTGTTTTCCTCCAGTTCTTCTAGCAGCATTCATGCTTCCTTTCACGGCTATTCTAATTGTTGGTTAATGGTTGCTAAGGCTTTGCTGGTAGCATAAAATCCCAACTCCTTACCATGGATTGGCCCTGTCTGTAGCTCTGACCACTTCCCAGACCCTTTCTTCCTGAAGCTGCTAAGTATTCAGCTCCAGCTTTGCCAGCCTGCTTTTGTTCTTAGAGCACTGAAGCTGCCCCTTACCTTAAGGCCTTTGTACCCTCAGGGGCTTTCTCCCGTCATGACTAGATTTTTCTCATCTTTCCAGGCCCAGCTCATATGCCATCTCCTCTATGTGAGTCCTTTCCTGCCATCCCATTTATAGAGTAGTATGTCCCCACCCCCCAATCCAGTCTCTGTCTTACTGTCCTTTCTTTCACAGCACTTACTACATTTCAAAGGTTTTGAGACATACATTTTTTCCAATTGAAATTTTAATTGAGATAAATATAGATTCACATGCAGTTGTAAGAAATAATACAGGGATCCCTTATGGGCTTTGCAGTTTCTCTCAATGGTAACATTTTACAAAACTATACTATTGTGTCTAAAATAGTATAATTATAATTATAGTGTCTATAATACTATAGTAGTATTGACATTAATATAGTCTATAGATCTTATTCAGATTTCCTCAGTTTTACCTGTATTCGTGTATGTGCATGTGTGTGTGTGTGTGTGTGTGTGTTATCATTTCTGTACGGTTTTTTCCCTGTGTTCATGTATCCGCCACCAGAATCAAAATGATGAGCATTTCAAGGGTCCCTCGTGTCCCTCTTTTGTAACCACATCCTCTCTCTCTTGTGCGCTTCCCCACACTCTTCCTGTCCCTCACTCCTTGCAACCACTAATCTGTCCTCCATTAAAATTTTTTTCTCACTCCAAAAATATTATATACATAGAGTGTTGCAGTATAAAACCTTTTGGGATTTGCTTTCTTCACTTAGTGTATTTCCCTGGAGAATCCAAGTTATATGTCTATCAATAGCTTGTTACTTTTTATTGATGAATTGTATTCAGTGGTACAGATGCACCACCCGTTCAAGGACATCTGTGCAAATTCCAGTTTTTGACTATTACAAATAGAGCTGTTTTGAACATTTGTGTACAGAATTTTATGTGAACATAAGTTTTCATTTGTCTAGGATAATACCCCAAGGGTATAATTAATTGCTAGGTCAAATAGTAATTGCATGTTTTGTTTCATAAGAAACTGTCAAGACTTTTTTCCAGAGTAGCTGCATCATTTATATTCTCACCAACAATGTGTGAGTTATAAGACATACATTTTTTTTTTCCAATTTAAAAAGGGTGATTTTTAAGCAAGGTGTTTTTGTTTGTTTGGTTAGGTTTTTTTTTTTTTTTTTTCAGAATTTTTTTTTTTAAGAATTTCTTTTTAAGTATCTCTACACCCAGTGTGAGGCTTGAACTCACAACTCCAAGATCAAGAGTTGCATGATCCACCGACTCAGCCAGCCAGGCACCCCAAGCAAGATGTATTTTTAACTGCTATTTTTTTTTTAATATTTATTTATTTATTTGACAGACAGAGATCACAAGGAGGCAGAGAGGCAGGCGGAGAGAGAGGAGGAAGCAGGCTCCCTGCTGAGCAGAGAGCCTGATGCGGGGCTCTATCCCAGGACCCTGGGATCATGACCCGAGCCGAAGGCAGAGGCTTTAACCCACTGAGCCACCCAGGTGCCCCTTAACTGCTAATTTTTAAAAATAATTTTAACCATCAATTATATCTTAGCATTATATTGCAATTTAAATAGCAGGATTTTTTTTCTTGGTGGTACATTCAATATTGGTTTATTTTACAGTCAGTGTCTCCTTAGACTATCTCACTTATTGATTTGATTACTTGTCTGTCTCTTCCCATTAGAATGTAAATTTCAAGAAGGCAGGGATTCTGCCCATATTGTTCATTTTGCTTTCTCAAGGCCTAGCACAGTCCTTGGTACATAGAAGGTACTCAATAAATATTTGTTAAATGTAAAAACAAAAAGTTAATTGTTCGTATGTTGAGTAAAACTGCAGTTGTAAGAACTCTCCATACTTTTTGTGTGCCTCCTCCAAGTATCTGTATTTTAATAGAAGATCCCTGAAGGATATTAAGTGTAATTTTTTAATAGAGGAAAGTATAGTGTTCTTAAGGAGGAAAACCTGCTTTCAGTTTGAGGCATTCCTTAAAATATAACATATCAGAGGAAGTATTATGGGTGGTCATTTTAAATATTTTCAGAAACTCTTATCTCTTAATAAGCAGTACAAAATATAAAGAAACACAGAAGGTTTGAACACTGAATAAGGTGAAAAGGAAGTTAAAAGGGTACAAACTTTCAGTTACAAGATGAACAAGGTTTGGGGCACCTAGGTGGCTCAGTGGGTTAAAACCTCTGCCTTCGGCTCAGGTCATGATCCCGGGGTCCTGGGATCAAGCCCCACGTCGGGCTCTCTGCTAGGCGGGGAGCCTGCTTCCCTTCCTCTCTCTGCCTCTCTCTCTGCCTACTTGTGATCTCTCTCTCTCTCTCTCTCTCAGATAAATAAATGAAATCTTTAAAAAAAAAAAAGAAAAAAATAAGATGAACAAGGTTTGAGGATCTAATGTATAACATGATGACCATAGTTGATAACACTGTATTATATAACTGAAATTTGCTAAGAGAACTTAAATGCTCTCACCAAAATGGAAGGGAAAAAAAATTAAACTGGGACTCATTGTTCCAAAAAAGGGGGACAAGACTGAAATGTAGAGAGAATTGAGATTATACATTTTCTTGATTGTTGTGTTTATTATTTTAGTAAATAAATACAATCTTTTAAATATATACATATATATTTTAAAAAATATTTTTGACAGAGAGAGAGCATGTGCATGTGAGTGGGGAGTTCCGGAAGGGCAGAGGGAGAGGGAGAGAGACAATCTTAACCAGTCTCCATACCCAG